TGTTACGTTCTTTTCTTAGCCAAAATTGAAACCATTTATTTTCTTTTTTGTTCTGTAATTTTTTTTTGGATTTGCAGAGAGGAGTAGAGAAGAGGAGTTAAGGGAGAGGGGAACATCAATGTTGCTGGGGTGGGGGGTGATTGGGAAGTTGATGCAGTGGGTTTGTGTGGTGTTTTTTTTATTTGAATTTCGAACTGGTTATGGCTGGGGACGATGATGCAGTGGCCATGGTGGATATGGTGAATCTATGTTGCGGCTGGAGGAGAGAGAAAGCAGTGGTGGTGGGTGGGTCTGCTGGCTCTTGGTTGTTGGTTGTGGTTGGTTGCAGGCGATGTTGCTTGTTGAGGGAGAGGGGCACTGCGATGCAATGTCGCTAGCGAAGGGCTTGGGACAATTTGTCCGCCCTTTCCACACAGGCTTCTGTAAGAACACCTAAGGAGGTGTTTTTGGTGGGCCTAGTATTAGTTAATCCCATTTAAGATTAGAACCATGGGAAACAAACATGGGATTAAAGTTTGGCCAATCCAGTCCAAGCAAATCCCTTGTAACAAACGAGTCCATAGTGCGTTGACTACATGACACTACCAAGAAGAGTCCAGAACTAGACATGGACTTTAGTATAAAAGGAGTTTTCAGCTCGTTAAGGAAGATGCATTTTTGGCACTGAGTTCAGAATTAAAAATTAAATAAAATGAAACGATCACACCTAATCAGTGAAAAATTCTGACACCAATCATTTACGAGTGAGTATTACACCAAGAATTAATTGACAAGCGGATGAGTTTTCTAGTTCACTATGTTGATATAGCTTATAATATTGTTAATAATCCCAAGATTTCCCCCCTTCGATGCCAGTTTGAAACCTAAGACCCCTGGGTCTTTGGGTGTAAACCAAAGCCAACATGATACGAGGAAGCCAGCAACGAAATTCATTATTATTCACTATGCTGGTTGTGATTATGGCAACTCAAAGATACTAAACAAAGGTATTTGTGCCTAACATAATTCACTATGCTGGTTGTGATTACAGCATAACAATACTGTCATTATTAAAAAGACATACCTTCTCTCCCACTTTTTCTTGATGTTCCTTCACTTTCTCTTGTAATTTCTTCAATCTCATGTTCACCCTTAACCTCTTTTCCTGTTTATATCAAACAAAAATAGAGAGCTAAGTTCCTTCGCCACAGAAAAGTTACCATATCAATAGATAGGTCGATTGAAAACAAGACCCCAAGAAAACCATATTTCATAGTAAGAAAATCGAATAGATGAAAACACGAGAAAAATCTTGCCTTCACAAAACTAACACCAAGCTCTTTTCTTGTATATCCACGATCCAAGTTACGCAACACATACTGATTATAATCTTTTACAATCCTCATTATAATGTCCGATGTCGAAATCCCATCAGTTCTCTTTGTTTCCTTAAACCTCCCCACTGCTTTGACCTATAAGAAAAGAATCACTTAACAAATTATATGTTAAAGAAAATTGGGGGAAAAAAAGCCAAAAGAAAAGTACTTTGTGCCAAACTTACAAATTCGTACACATCTTTCCCAGCTCCACTGGCATCAGCATAACTGTAAAAGACACAGTGAAAAGTACAAAAGAATCCATAATAAATTTCACTTCTAACAGAAAAGGTGTAACAAATCCGCACCTACTTTTTATATCTATAAAATTTAAGATATACCATATATTTCAAAATAATGGTATACTGATAGAAACAATACTGGCCATAAAAAAACCATACGAATAAAGCTGAAGTATTTTATTAACAATGGAGCTTAAAGGTGAGAGCTTGAGAAAAGTATCCTTACGGGAGAGAGTCATGGGCCACATAGTCAATCTCATGCTTGTCAAGAAATTCTTGATTGATCACCCAAGGTGCATCAGGAATGACTTCATCTACCCACCTGCACAAACAAAACCCATATTTGTTATTCTTGATTATACAACTCTCTGAAATTCTATTGTATGAAAATGTGCCATCAATGCACACACGTACACATGTAAAAGTTATAGCTTTAACAAAAACACTACATCTCAGCAAAACCAAAAGAAATATTTCAGAAAGAAAAAATTATAAGGTGGAGAGGGACAAGAAGGTAACAGAGAACATTCATACTTGCAATGGCGAAGAGATTCATAACGTTCAGACTCTGTCATAACAGTCTTGCCTTTAAACTTGTGAGTGGTTTCATCATTACAACAACCAACGAGCAGATAGGTGTTAGGGAACCTGAAATCGCAAATTGAACTTATAAGAAAAATGTACATAAGCATGCCACATGATATCAATTTTAAAAGTTGCTATAGCAAATCAAACGCTATAACAGAATAGAATCAGAACATAGAGCAACAAAGACTTCGAATTAGCGAATAATAACAAAACAATACATCAAATAAAAAACTAAATCACCACACCATGTATCTCTGTTTTTAGTTCTGATACAATGTCAAAAGAGAATACCTTACAAGTTTTAACTTAGGAATCATCTGTATAGCTATTCAAACACTTTAAGATTATAATTTCATACAAGCTTCTACATATCGGTTTAACTATTCTACGACGTATGTGAATCCAATAAGCTTAACCAAAGTAAGGCATTCATGTAAAAAGAAAAAAAAAACGATTAACAATCACAGATATTAAAAGTGAATCAGCATAAGCAAAACATTACGGCAAAATAAAAGATACCCAAGATAACAAAACACACAAAAGTTAGAAATTTCATGAAACAAACCAAGTGAAGCTCCAAAATAAGAACAACCCAGATTCGAAAATGAAGCAAAACAGAGAATCAGACCATGATTGCACTGAAACAAAAACAAAAGCAACACATGGCAATTGAAAAGGAGGAGTGTGCGAGAGAGATAGAGAGAACACATACGATTTCTTGGCTTGCTCGAGCGAGCGAGCATGGCCGAAGTGGAAGAGATCGTAGATCCCATCGGCGTAGACGCGAACAAGGCGGTCGGGTTGATCGGCGTTGGAATTCGAATGGGCACTGGCGTTGCTGGTGTCACAAGTATCTTTGGGCTCAACCTCTGCCATTCGAATCCAAATAAGAAACTTGAGTATGAGTTTGGGCTTTTACCAATTTGCCACCTCCACGACTACCACCACCTCTGCTTGGCTTTGTCTCTCTCTCTCTCTCAGCTTTCATTCATTTTTCTCTCTCTTTATTTGTGATATTCGTCGGCGTCCCCTGGTAAACTGTATAACCTCAGAATACGCGGTAATTCCGCGTCCCCCTCCCTAACTATTTGTTTTGTTTTGTTTTTTTTTTCAGTTTCTGAATTGAATTGAAAGATGCTATTAATTTCATTTTATGATTTGTGTTTTCTTTACTCTAAAATGGGGAAAAATGGAAGCATCATGCATAGTTATTGCGCGGTTGATGTATAACGAACAGTTGGAATGGCGGTATAACATATAAAAAAGCACATTCCTGTTCTAGTATTTACAAGAAAAAGTTTAGCCAAAGTCATATACCATGTCGACATGATAGAAGATGATGTGGTGATAACCCAGAAGGATGGTGTTGGGCCTAAAAAGAGGAAGGACCAAATTCAAAACAAAACTAGGGGATCGAGTCTAAAAACCAATGACCGTGACACAATGGGCTCGGCCCAAAAAACCATGCCCTATATTATCTTTATAATCCAAAAGCATGAGGCCCGAGTAGATTGCCCCAATCTGATTTCATGAAACTCGACCGAAGTTAGAGCTTGGCAATTTGTTTCTTAGCTCAATGAATCTCTGTCGAGTAAATTTTCTCTCAAACCAGACTTAGATTTTTATTGCTTTCTCATATCTCCACGTAGTTATATCACCAAGAAAACTTCGAGGTTTTCTTGAGCACCATCATCGTAATCGTTCACATTTTATATCAACAAACAGCTCTGTTCATCAGAGTTTTCGTTTGAGCACCATCTAATCCATCTCTACTCTATCTCTCATTTAAGCATTGTTTTAGTTTATAATCAAAGAGGACTTGAGAGATCATATTGACAGCAGAAAGCCTTCAACCGAACGCGGTAGTCATACAAATACTCGACCGGCACAAAACGACACCAGCAACTTTGTTACCAAAGTTGAGAGCCCGACGGCCGAGAACACATTCCTTACTCGGCCCTAGTCGCTTGACAAAGTCAAAATCAAAGGCGATATCCATTATCCACACCACCAATCTTATTCTTTGCTATCACGGCCATCAGTGACCATGATAGCTGGCACGCCAAGCACAACACTTGTACCAAAGGATGACTTTGTGTCTCGTATTTGCTCGGCCACAAATTATTTTATCCTAAATAATCAATGTGTCAAACAGAAAAGATTTTGGGGTCAATAGATACACTCACATTTAAACCAATATAATAATTGTTCATTTAAAAAATAATAATGATAATAATAAAAGAATCTTCTTCTTCTTTTTTTTATGGGAGAAAGGGATTCAAATTTGGGACGTTAAGTATTTTTTGAGACCCCTTCCAAAATGGTTAAAATGATCTTTTTTAAAAGCCTTTTTTTTTTTTTTTTATAAATACAATACAAAGAGTTTTCAAAGTGTTTGGCGAAAAATAAAACTTGAAAATATTTATGGGTCATACAACAAAGTCATTTATGAAGAGAAAGCAGTTTTAAGTGTTTCTTCAGGAAACATTTGAATAAGAATATCTTGACGTGATTCCAAATTCTAATAAAAATCAGTTCTTAGATTTGTTTTCTCCCTTGTTCACCCAAAAAAAAAAAATTCTAATAAAAATATTTTTTTTATGAAGAAGAGAAATATCATTAGATTAAAAGTTACTCCATCATGAATGACATGGCTATCATGAAAAGGTTTTTATATTAATTTGTAGAATCGTGATTGATGATTGATTTCGCCGGCAATGCAAAGAAAACCCCTACTTTTCATCGATATGCTTTCTTTCTTTCTAATCATATATCTTCCCAAATTGAACAATACTATTGCATTCGCTTAAAGCAAGTTTTTCTTTTCTTCGAGATCTAAACACATGCATGGGATGCGATCTTCATTTGTTAACTGTTGCAAATGTACTTGTTTGATACACATTGTGGTCGCCTATGAACGAGAATGAACAATCACACGAGATCACATTGAAGTTAGAGAGACCAAAGAAAGCCTCAAAAGAGAGACTGAGAGAGACTAATTGATATTGTGCTGCAACCAATCCCCTCCATCAATGAAAGAAACGTTCCGAAAAGTTGAAGCTTGTGTGTCATTCAATTTCTGTACAAAAGGCGCTCGCATGGTCATATTAGCTCCTGCACCAGAACAATTGTATTCTCCAAAGAATATGGTCCTGCATGCATATATATAATTATTTGGATTAGATTAATTCTGGGAAATTAATTATGAAAATGAATGTTTAATTATGTTGTGTTACGGACTGGTCTCTTGTTGGGTCGTTGAAATCGTTCCAGCCTTCAGGAGCTATAATGTCAGCCATTGTTGTGTTGACGAAAACCACTCGTGAAAAAGGCCTCCATGCTCGACCCAACCACACTCTTCCAGTCCCTCCGATAAAGCAGTTGACAAATGCAAACCCAGTGTTGTTGTCCTTGGAAGCTCTGCCATGCGCTGTGACGGCGCCGTTTACGTTCCTTGATCCTGGAGGGACTGGATTTGCCATGGAGATCAACTGGCAATTCTGTGTCAAACAGTTCATGCAACAATTTGATCATAAGCATTTTAGGCACATCATGACATTGACAATAATATCCCACATTGCTTTTTGAGAAAAACCTTCTATATTGTATATATATATATATCTAACCGCATTACAGTCACTTGATGAGAGATATTGAATGATTACATTGTTAACTCATCCTTTAATAGAGATGGGTGGCTTCTACTCTTTCATAAAGGTGTGAAAATTACATTTATTAGAGACGTGATGAACAATATGGCTTGTAAATGTATATCGTTGATAGAAGTTTTGCACACACCCCTCTTTCATGTCATGACATTTGCATATGAGTGGTAACATAGTTGTTACACAAATTGCCAAATTTTATGAAGAACTCAGCTGTTTTAGATCATATGGTCTCCCAGATATCCTTTTTTTTTTATACAAAATTGTGCAGAGAGCTGAGATGAATTATTATACCTCATAGAGTGACCTTCCATTGCCAAAGATGAAATCAATGGAACCCTGTACATAGCAATCCTTAAAGTAATGGCGGCCCCTATCATCATGAAGGGTGTCTTGGGCTCCAAAGAATCCACAACCCAAAAACGCAGCTTGGTCTCCTGATATTCTAATGGCTACGGCTTGAGCTCCAAAATCACCAGGATTTGGAATTGGAGCCACATTCTTTTCATACAATTCCCATTTGGACAAGTGTTAGTTAGTGTACATTAATCATACCATAAAATTAATATTAATGCAACTTTCTCACCATGAAGCTTATGTTCTTAGCAACAAAGTTGTCAGCATAAACTTGAACAGAACCGCTATAAAATGTGCCATGAGATGAATTAGCTGTGTCATTCCAAGCAATTGCAGTCGATTCATACCCTTGTCCTTGAAATGTTATATTGGGTTTGTTTTTCGGAATCAAGATTTTCTCACTATTAAAAATTTACAAGAAGAACAAAAATTAAAAATAATCAAGAGATCAAAGAAAGAAAGAAAGAAATGATCTTTTGAATGAAAGAGTTGGAAAAGAAAGCCAAATGAACTTACTAGTAAAGCCCATTATTAATCCAAATTATTGTTCTTTTCTGGCTAACAGCTGGAGCTGCATCAACAGCTGCTTGAACCAATGTGAAATTACAACAGCCATTTCGATCGACACAAAGGTAGGAGGTTGTGTTGGGGTCTGGAGGAGGAAAGCCACGTGGGAAGTCATCACAGATGGATCCTATGGTTCCATTGTCTTTCTTTTTGTGATGTCTGCCAATGTGGTTTGGGATGAGATAAGAAATAATATTACTAGGCACTGATGAAGTTGTGGCCAGACTAAGATCCACAATGTGTTTGAGGGGTGATGAGTTTGGATCAATGACATGTCTAGATGCCAATAAGACTGCAAAGATGGCAACAAAATATGTTAGGCATGTGGTTTTGAGGCTCATTTTTTTTTCTTTTTTGGTCTGAATTGTGGAAAAGGGTAGCTGGAGAGGATGAGATATTTCAAATGGAAGGTTAAATAGGCATATGCACTTGAAGTGAAAGAATTGATGGAATGTCTTGCAAATCACCCTGTCCCTGTATATCTTAAGAGTATTCATTTCCAACCTAGCTACCAAACTTTTTTTTCTTTCTCAACAAATACAATTACTATTTAAAATTGCATTCTTTATAGGAAAAAAAATCTCAACACTTTCGGAAGATTCATAAGTTACAGTCTGATTCGTGTCTCTGGGTCTGGTTTAGTAACTGGGTCATTCTTGAAGTCAATTCTTCCATGATTGGGAGCCCTACCCTTCCATGCATTGCAATTGGGAAAAGGACTGGCATGTTCGGCTGTGGATTCGTTGGGCAAAGCCCAGTAGACCAACACAGCCCATTTTCGACCCAAATTTGTCTCATCTTTCAAAAGTAAAAACAAACCCATTATCTTAGACCAATTTCAGAAGTGAAAAAAGAAAAGTAAAAGAAGTTTACTTGTCACTTTCTTTTGGATCAATTGTTTTCCTTCCAATACAGCTTCCTTCTGTGGTTTGGTTGTCAGCAAAGGCAAACACAAACAATGTAAACCTTTCATTTTAAGTAACATATAAGTAGTGGAGGGGTTCACCTAATCTTAAAACCCATCTGCTAAATGCAATTCATTATGAGAATGTTTGGAAGTCTTTCCAAATAAAGCTTCATTGTGTTCCTTTTTTCCTCAATTACCATCGATATATTACATCCAAATGAAATGGAAATTTCCATCCAAGAGAAAGAAATAAAAAGTATGTAATAGTTGTATACACTTGGATTTTATCGCAAAATAAGTGGTCACACATCAGATGATAAAGTGTTATAAAAAGAAAAGTGTATACATACGTTACAGGTAAGTTTTTGACTCTAGATGACGTGACATCGATAAATAATGGAATGTATATGAGGTTTTTTCTAATGTTAAATTAACACGGGTCTTTGAAAACGCAATATATCACAATGCATAAGTAAATAAGAAAGTTTTATTCTTAATCATGGTCGGATTATCAATAAAAAATCCACGTGTTTGACTTTAGTTTGAAAGTTGAGGCTTGCTAATGATGCTCCCCGGACGAATGAAACTATAAAACCAATCAGAGATTGATGTAATCTTGGGGAATCAAAAGGCACCCATTTGAAATTCAAATAAGCAAAGATTAGGGCATATATATTTTTGACTTTGTAAAAAGTACTGCAATTTCTGCTTTTTCACGCCAAAATTTGGGTCCCACGATGACCTCGCATTCACCCCCTCTTCCCTCTTCTTTTCTCACTCAATCAAAAATCTCTCACAATCAAACGATTAGCAGCGCCGGACGCGCCACTCCCGTTGCCGCTTTAAAAAAGGAAAGGAAAATAAAAAAAAGATTTTGCACTACTCTTTGTTTATTTTTTTCTCTTTTCTTTTATTCTTAACACGTTCTATTTTTTATATTATTGAAAAAATTGTAAAATCCAAGGTGAGCATATATAAGTTTGGAAAAATGACAGAAAAAAGAAGTGATATTGTCACACCAATGTTGATTTCAACATGTAGATCACCAAATGTTGAATCGATTTGGTTTTATACAATATTATTATAGCGTGTTATTGTCATCTTCATTTACTTTTTTCACCATTCACAAGTTTCGTAAATAGCATAAACTTCGAATATTAAGGGCTTGTTGGATAACTATTTCATTTTAGTTTTTAGTTTTCATTCTCCCCTCTCATCCTCTCTCTCTCAATCTCATCATCACTCTCATTTTTACTCTCATTTTCTTCTCTACTCTAGCACTTTTATTTATTTTAAAAAAACTCATTTTTAACTCATCTTCCTAAAATCCTATTTATTTGATTTTAACATTGTTTTTCCTGTTCTTTTGAAGCTTTATAGACGATGTATAGTACCATCCATGAAGCAGTGCTATTCTTTAACTAGTTACCGTTTTTATTAACTGATACACTAGCAGCCATGTGGACTTTTTCTGGAACATGAAAATAAACAAAGAATATATTAATTGTCATATGTTTATATACTAGGAAGGAAAAACATGGATGAAAATCTGGCATCAACCGTTGCCCCATCGCCCTTTTTATTTTCAATTGACAATACAAGCGATAATCTAAACTATAAACGGGATGAGAGTTTTTCATACATAAGCTACCAATATGTCATGAAGAGTCGAATCTAAGACTAGCAGTCTGCAAGTAAGAGTCCTTTTACACCCATTGACTTTTTTAGTGCTAGATTAAATTTCAAGACGTGATCAGAATATTTGGCAGTGTACTCCCCCCGCCGAGCCAAAAAAAACCTGCAAGCCACAACCCAAACCGAGAGAAAGAAGTGTAAAATGGGGCACCAAACAAACAAGGAAAATACAAAATGTTCAAGTAAACTCATGACAAATTCTGCCTTCATAACATATATACAAAATAAATACCACTAAACTAACAACCATACAAAAGAAGTAGCGCTGTAGAGCATTCAAACTTGTACCTCTGCCTACTAAACTATAATATCTAGTTGACTAGCAGTATTTATTTAAATGATGTAGATCGTTACAAGCTCATTTGAGAGGACTCATTTATTGATTGTATGTAAATGTATACACAAAAATTATAGATCAAGAAACAAAGACTAATTAAATCTCTATCTTAGAAATTTAAAAGGATATTCAAAACAAACATGAACAAAAAAGAAAGGGAGCTGTTAATTAGTACTCCAAAAAAGTTATGCACTCCTCCAAGTAGGGATGGTAGAAATCCCCGTCGGGACGGGGATCCGACAGAGTCCTAGCCGTAACGAAGGGAGATTTCGGGGCAAAACGAGGATCGAGTATGGGGATCCTCAAATTTAAAAAACCCTCATACCATCCCTGCCCCGAATCCGACCCGATACTTATATGTTTATTTTTAAATAATAAATATATAATAAAATATTTTGTTACCCTAGCATCTTCTTTGCACGCCAAACCCAAGTCATTCAAATCCACATCCAAATCCAAATCTGATGTAAATTCTGCAAAAAAAAATTCGTTGCTAAGTTAGCTGAAGTTTCTACTTTCGAGAAGAGAAGTGTTATAAATTAACTTGCCAACTTGGGTAATTTGTTTAAAGCTCAAAAAGTTGCTGTTAGTAATAGTGATTTTATGATTGATGTTGGTAGTAGCTTAGATTCCACCTTTGTATATATATAACTGGGAATTTTAGTTCAAAGAAAATTTACTTAAGTGAATAAACCAACAATGCTAGCGTTTAGTTTTTTTTATTTTTTTATTTATTAGATCATAACATTCTGTTTAAGTATAAAGATTATGCCTATTAGACTGCAAGTTCCTAACTTCGATTTTGATTTGGCTTATGTTCAGTTTCAAGTTCTTGCACATGGACGTTCAAAGTGAGAGAGATCAGGTTATACAAAAAACCCAAGGATCCAAGGGCGGGTTTGGGGGATAGGATTCCCCGAAACCTCTTAAACGGGGATGGGGTCGGAAACGGGGGCAGGGATGAGGAGCGGGGACGAGGATAGTATTGTCATACCTAACCCATTATTATCCCTACCTCCAACAGCAATTTATATGAGCAATCTCTTGTATTTTTATGATAGGGAGTGACTATGACTTTTTTAAAGTATTCGTGGAAAAACACAGAATATTTGAGTCAAAATCACGATGAATTCTACCTTCATACATAGTATGATTCATATTATATATTGTACATTTTCCACAGAAAATATTAATTAACAAACTAATAAGTAATTGCTTAACGCCAGTTACTTAAAAGATCTAAATACTTAGATCTATGAACTGAATCCCACAATCGAACCAATCAATCACATTTTGTTTTTGTCGCTCATTTGAGAGAGGACTCGTTTATTAATAATAACTTGGCAAAATAAAGAAAAATAAATAAAGAAGAAGAAGAAGAAACAAGCTAAAACAGTATAAAGCATCTCTAAATTAGAAAATTAAAAGGATATTAAAAAAAACAAAATGAGAAAAAGGACCACATTGTATATATAAAAAAGAAGAAGACATTTGGTATCTAAATCTGTTGAAAAGCATACATTATATTATATATATAGAAACATTGTTTCCGTATATATACATTGGTCAAGAATTGTGTCCCTATGATAAGTCAGTCTACCTAACTTTTCTGCTTTACGTCCCTCTCAAAACATGAAACTGCCACTCCTGTTCTCATTGGCAGCGTTAGAGCCGGGCCTAGCTGCAGACGGCACTTGGGACGACGACATACCCTCCCTCAAAAACTCATGATGATCAACAATATGATCAGACGAACCCCCAAATCCCATGTTTGTGGGTCCTCCTCTTGATGATGATGAGCTCAATCTCTGGAGAAACCCATCCCCAACTCCTGCACCAACCAAGTATTGCTGGTTCTGACGTTGTTGTTGTTGCTGTTGCTGGTACTGATGATGTTGCTGCTGCTGCTGAGGGTGTAGAGGATGATACCCCGGAGACACCACAAAGCCCTGTGGTCTAGGCGGGGCCAGCCCGAAACTAAAACTGGACGCACCGGAGGGAAACGACGCCGTGTTAGGGCCCCCGGTGAACTGCTGCACCATGGCACGGAAGTTCGTAGTGTCCGTGTTGAGCAGCGTGGTGGGGGTCCGTCTCGAGGCTCTAGATCTCTTTCGGGCGGGTTTCGAAACCCGCCCTTGATCTGGGCTCAAACTGTTGGTGCTGGAGCCCGGATTGGCGGAGCCAACTGCACTTGTTGTGGCGACAGCGGATGGAGTTGTGGTGGTGACCACAGTGGCTTCAGAGACTTGGTCATGACCAAAAAAAGTTGAAGTATTAATACCTGAAGAAATGTGGCCATGAGACACCTGAGCTTGAGAAGAAGACAAGGTTTGGTTGTAGAATTGGAGCCAGTCATTAGGGTTATTGGACATGGTTCCAGTACCACTCATGGCCATAAAACAATGTGATTCTTGTGTTTCAGAGAGAGAG